GGGATTTGAGGTGTCAAGGATGGGGTAGAAGACATGGGCAGTGAGGTGGGGGGAGGCTCTGAGACAGGCAGGGGCCAGGTGGAGTCGGCTCAGATCTGACATGGGCCAGGGAGACCCTGGCTCAAACCCACGGTTCTACTGTGTGGCCTTGGGTAAGTCACTGACCCTCCCTGGGCCCAAGTTGGCTCCTCCATACAAGGGGATGATGCGCCCTGCTGAGCCCAGTCCCCAGGCTGGGAGTTGCAGGAGTCCCTGGAAATAGGGAGGGGCCAGTGTCTAAAGTCAAGTGCTAACCATGGTTCCTGTACTCTCTGCTGGTCTGTGTGGGTCTTCCAGGCCTGAGGCTTCAGGAGGGGGTCGCTGGGGTGGGGAGGCAGGGTCAGGCCACTGAGGGCTTGGGGGGCAGGCTAGGAGCCAGCTGAATGGAAGATTCTCATTCATCAAAAAGCATGGCTCTTACAGACATTTTCCAGGGCCTCCCAAGTGCCTCTCTCCGGGATGGGAATGTGGCTGCATGGTGGAGGAAGGGAGGTGGGGTCCCAGGTGAGTGTCCCACCCCCATCAGGTCCTCACAACTGCATTGCAAGGCCAGGCTTGCCCAGTTTACAGATGGGGACACTGAGGCTCAGGCAGGGGAGACTCGGGGCAGGTTGCAGGGAGCTGGCAGGGCCAGGCAGGTGTGTCTGACTGGGAGCTGATGCTTGTGCCCTGGATTTGAGACAGCAACAACAATGACCATGTCGACCATGACAGTGGCAGCTTCCAGGACCCCAGCCACAGCTGCACTGACGATGACATCACAGCACGTGGCAGGAACGTGGTGACACCCTCCTGCCTCGCTGTGAACTGAGCGTGCAACTGTGCAAGGAGGCCAGGGGGCCTGGAGAGGCTTTCTATGCCTGGGAGGAAGACCCAGGACCTCCAAGGTGCGAAGGAGACACTGTCAGGTGAAGAAGGCACCCTGTCGCAGGGGCTGTGTCCCTAAAGTCCCTGCTGGGTCATGCTCGGCTCTGGGCCTTCAGCGGTTGTCCTGACTGCTTTCAGGAGGAAATGACGGGCAGAGTCTCGGGGTCACCAGAGGAGACAGAGTCCAGAGACTCTGAGCAAGAAACTTCGCAGTCCGAGTTCATTATCTCCTAAGTGGAAGGAAAGCCCGGCTTCTCTGTGAAGTTAAGTGAACGGGCTGAGCTTTCTGACTGCCGCGTCCCTCCGGACGCCCCTGCCGGCCCCTACCTCAGTCATAAATCCCAGGGGTGGGGGACGTCACAGCGCCCCACCTGCCTGGCCACGCGATTCAGCAGCGCCTGGCTTTTGCCCGGCCCCTGGCAGGAAAATCATATTTCTTGTGATTGACGGAGTGTCTGTCCACGGGGACCCAGAGGCAGGGCTGCGTGGGGCTGTGCCACTGCCACCAGGACCTTCAATACTGCCGCTCAGCAGCGGCCTGGGGCTGCCTCGGGCCCCTCACTCACCAAGCCCTACGGGTTTCTGAGAGGGGACTCGGTGCTGGCCCCAGCTGGGGAGCCGAGAGTCTTGAGGACGGACCCAGCAGTCGCCCAGCTCACTCTTCTGCCCCAGCTCTGCCGTCTGCTCCCTGCCCACCATGGGCCCTCCCCCTGCAGGGTGCCCATCAGAACCGCTACAGCAGCCCGGTGGAAGGCAGGGGCAGGGGACTCCTGGTGCCCCCAGCACAGCTGCCCCTCGCCTCCCCCTCCCACGGCGTCGCCTGCCTGCGCTGTCCTGGAGGTGCCTTGACCTCCTGCCTCTGTGCACTCTGGGCTGCTCTCCATCCACTGCTTGGGTCCCACTAAGCCCCCACCAGAAGTGGCTGAGCCTCATTTGGAGACTCCCAGAGCCCAGGTGATGAGGGTGTGTCTGCAGCTGTCTCGTTCCTGCTGCTCCTGCACGGGGAGCCCCGAGGAGCTGGAGAAGCTGGAGTCATCCACAGGGGACAGAGCTGGGGTGGGGTGGGCAGGGGCGAAAGGGGGAGAAGCCACAGAGGCTGGGCTCACAGGAGGCTTCTGGAGGTAAAGGCAGAAGCAAAGGGATGTTTTTGGGAGCAGCCGCACTCAGCAGGAGGCTCCTGAGAGCTGTGAGGGGAAGAGAAACCTTTCCAGGGACTGATTAGCATTAAAGGGTCTCCCAGGCCAGGCACGGTGGCTCACGCCTGTAATCCCAGCACTTTGGGAGGCCGAGACGGGGGATCACGAGGTCAGGAGTTCAAGACCAGCCTGGCCAAGATGGTGAAACCCCATCTCTACTAAAAATCCAAAAATCAGCTGGGTGTGGTGGGGGGCACCTGCAATCCCAGCTACTTGGGAGGCTGAGGCAGAGAACCGCTTGAACCTGGAGGCAGAGGTTGCAGTAAGCCAAGATCGCACCACTGAACTCCAGCCTGGGCAACAGAGCAAGACTCAGTCTCAAAAAAAAAAAAAAAAAGGAATCTCTGCGGCCCGCACTCTCTGCCTGGACATTCTCCGACGTGACTGAGGGCCGCAGAGAGCACCTGTTACGCCTGTTTGGATGCCAAGTGGTGCCTCACTGGCGGGGACACCACGGAGAGGCTGCGACGCCTGGGGCCAGGGACCTAGTCAGGTTACAGTGAGGTCTGTGACGCTGGAGACGTCGTGGGTCACACAGCCGGGAGGACGTTGGAGTGGCAGAAAAGGAGGGTCCTCCCTGATCTCCAAATCAAGTCCCCTCTCACTTCGGTTCCTCAACTGGCAAAACTGAAGCCCCAAAAGGAAGCTCCTCGCCCAGAGTCACACTGCACATCAAAGAGCACAGCGGGAGTGGGGCGGTGCCCGCGAATGCAGCCAGGGACGGGCTGTTCCCTTCGCCTGCACCACATCCTTGTGGGTTCTGAAGACCCTTCTTCACGCTCACATGGTGATGGAGCACCTTCCCCAGCCTGCACCCAGGACAGTCAGGAGCCTCCGAGCTCCCAGAGGAAACGTGTCCCACCTGGACGTGGAGCTCAGCCGCGCACCCAGGCACTGGGCACCATCCCCGAAAGCCTGGCAAGCTCTCCGCGTCCTGATGGCACAGCGTGGGACCTGGCACACAGCAGGTGTGCAATGTGTGCTTGGTGAAAAGCAATATGGGACAGGGTGGGGTGGGAACTGCAGCTGGGACACGCGAAGGGTTCTGGGCAGGGCCAGACTCGGGGGCTGTTAGCGGCAGGTGCAGCAACGTAGGAAACGGAGCACCCGGAGGCCGGGGCAGGCAAACAGCCCCCAGGTGCTGAGCACAGGGTGCTAACAACATCCCCCATCCTCTCGGCAAGGTTCGGGAGGTGTGAGCTATTGACTGCAAATGCACGGGCATGCAGAAGGCGTGGGGGTGGAGAAGGACCAACGTTTTCAACGGAAGATTCTCAGATATTAGAAAGCTTGGCGATTACAGACCTTTTCCAGTGCTTCCCGAGCTGTCCTGCCTACAGGCGTCCCCCCCAGAGAGGCCTGGTCCGTGGGCTCTGGGTCTTCCGTTTGACAAACCCGCCAGGTGTGTCTGCTGCAAGGGACTCGCATTTCAGAACACCCCACTATGGGGTCCTGCCAACAGACATTTCATTGCCAGTAGCTCTCTTAAGTCCCAACTGCTCAAGGGTGGGGGGCCGGCTTCTCTACTCATCACCTCCGCATCCCCCAGAACCGGCCACAGACCCCTGCGCAAGGACCACTCAGCCAGCATTTGTCAAACGGAGCCACGTGGGGCTGTGTCTTTGTCTCCTGTGTAATAGATGGCGCCATTATGCGATCGATAAGCCCAAACGGATTTATGCATATCTTATTAATTATTTAAGGCACTCATTACGGAAAAGGTCACTACCTGCTAGCTATGTGAACGAATGCTAACTCGCTTGGTTGCTGCCTCCAAAGAGGAGGAATCAAGGGTTAAGTGAGCACCTACTACGTGCCAGGTAGGCTCGCAGTTAACCCTTGGAAGGGGGCAGTCTTACTCTCTCCTTTTTCACGAGGATCAGAAAGTTAAGAGGGTGAAATCTCGTGCCAGGACTCAGACCCAGGTCAGGTTGCCTGCAAAGCTCCTGGACTTGAACCCAGGGCTCGCCGTGCAGCAAACTCCTGCACACCCCGCAGCAGGGGGGCTCTGGATGGATCTTGCAGCCGGGGCTTGGTATCATGATGTCCCTGTGTGATGTGCCCTGAGCCACGTGTGCCCATGGCTGCAGCTCAGCGCCAACAGGGCATCTGAACCTCTCACTCTACCCCCTGACCTGGGAATCGACCCTCAGTGTGGCTCCTGTCCTTGGTACTGCCAGCCTCCCAGGGAGTTCCTGCTCCAAATGCCAGACCCCGCCTCTCTCCTTCCAACTCTAGATGCCACACTACCCAGGGCTACCTGGGGTTAGGTCAGGCTCGCCCCCACCATGCTGGAACTGGGCAGAAATAGGAACTGCCGTAGAGAAGCTCAGATCTGAACATAACCCCGAGGCAGCCGCCCCACAAGGCCAGCCCCTGAGATGCCACCTGTCTGGCTGGCTTCCTTCCTGAACAGCCTGCCTGAGTCAGCACCAGCACCCTCCTGCCACACAAGGCATGTCGTGTAAGGAACGAAGTAACATTTGTATTTTCTAACCTCATGCTGAGAAATCTGCCTGGGCAGACCGATTTGCCTCCTTTGGCCAGATTTACAACTTAGAAAGCCATCCAGTCGCCCCCTTTGCCTTGGCAGCTAGGAAACGCAGAGCTCCAGTCAATGTTTAGCGGCTGCGTCTCTCGCACGGGGCTCTAAGCGCGATGAGCTTGCAGGCTCTGCTTCTAAGCTCTGTTTCCCCCTCTCATGCTGACCTGCCCGTCCGGGCACATGTTCTAGGCTACCATGACAGTTTCAACTTTTTCTTGACAAACAAGATATGCAAACAGTTGGGTAACCAAACAGCCAGATCACTCTCCCCATGGCGAGAATGATGGCGGATTTTCCAAGCTCTCCAAAGACAGTGACCCAAATCAGCGCGGGCCTCAATGGCAGCCACTTACCAGGCAGACGAGCTCTGGAAGGTCATCAGTGGCGGGCTCTGGGTGTCTCCCCGCAGCGTGTGCACGGCCTGGGGGGCTTGCGGCAGCGGGCCTGGGGCAGGCTGCGGCCGGGGGGCCCGAGCAGGGTTCCCCCACCGCCGGGGGTCCTGTTTCATCCACCGCCCTTGGATGCCCCACCGTGCCAGGTAGACCTTGCAGATGTCGTAGTTCATCGCCGAGTAATACAAAAGGTCCAGAAGCAGCAGCATCAACACGAAAAAGCCGTAGATCCACACTCCCAACAAGGCGGTGTAATTGCTGTGAACGAACAGAGGGAGTGAGCGGGGAGAGGCAGCAGCCGGGCTCGGGCTGGCTTCATCGGCGGGGCTGATTAGAGAAGCTGGCATGGGGGCTATTTTGGAGTCCCAGGAGGAGGGTACGGAGCCCCTCTGGAGGGCGGCACCTTGGCGCCCTCTCCTCTGCCTGCACTGTTCACCTCCTTCCCTGGAATTCATTGCCTTGGGCCTGGTCCCGACCTGAGCATCCTCCAGGACCCCGCCCGCATCCTTGGGCTGGCATCCCTGTGAGCCCCACACCGTCAGGCACTTTGGGAGGAATTCTGAGCTGGCATCGGAGTCTCCCAGGACATGGCAGCCTCTTCCTCCTCCTGGCACTGTTTTGGCCTGGCCGCTCCCTCCTTCCTACAGATGCCCGTGCTCGCCACCTCCCTGCCACCTTTGCCTCCGCTGTCCCTGCTCCCCCACCGTGCTCTCACTGCCTCCCCCCTGCGTGAGGATGGAGCTCCTCCCCATCCTGCTGGACCTAGGGCAGAGGCCTCAGGTTCTGCCCTCCACACCCCTCCCAACCTCCCCCAGAGGTCCCCTTCACTCCACAGGACCAGGCTGTGCATGGCTGGGGTGTCCGGGCCCTGGGACCTCACTTCTCTTATTCATTTGCCCAGTATTTCCCCACTGAGGGCTGCTCTGCCTTCCCCAGGCAGAGGTGGCCACAGTTGCGGAGGGTTCGGAACCCCGCTGGGAAGCCTGGCTCTCCCGGCATCAGCCGACACCGCTGCAGAGAGGCTCTGCGCTCCCAGCACCCGGCCTTTGCACAGGCCGTGCCTTCTTTCCCTGAGCCCTCCTCCCACCGGCCCTCTGTTGAAGACGACTTCCTCCAGGAAGCCTTCCGGACACCCTGACCCTCCTACATGGCTGGGACAAGCCCCTCTTCTGGCCCACAGCCCCGATGTCCCCTCAAACCCAGCCCTCGTCCGTCACGCAGAGCCACGTCTGTCTCCCACGCCCTTCCCCAAGGCCAGGGTCCGAGTCTCCGCACGCCCAAGGTGGACGGTGTCCTGGGCTTCCCACTGCAGCGGGGGCTGCTGAGTCCTAACAGGACATGCCAGGGGCTGCGGCTGCCTGAACGTACCGCTCTATTAATCGCTCCGGCTGCCTCCGGCTGCTCCCCGCTGCGGCCATGTGTCTGGGTGGGTGTGCGCGTCGGTGTCGAGGGGGTGTGAACGGAGCCACGTCCGGCCCGCACACGCTGCCCCTGCACCTCCCCAGGGAGAGACCCGCCGGCCTCCTGCCCAGACTGGGCTCTCAGGGCCAGCACAACCTTCAAGACCCTGTTTGAGGCCGAGGACAGGTGCCAGCCTGGACCCCTGGTTCTAATTCTTCCTCTGCCTGGTTTGCTGCGTGGCCCGGGAGAACCCCGGCCTGTCTCTGGGCCTGGAGGAGATGAGCAGGAGGCCCCCCCCGTCTCAGCGTCCAGGCTCCAGCTCTTGCCGGGCTTAGGTCAGCCCGGGCGCCAGCAGCAGCCTCTGGAGGAACACGGGGGCTGCTTCCCGCCGGCTCCTCTGGCCCTGACCAGGGCTGAGCCCAGGGCCGGGGAAGCTCGCCTTCCCCCTCTGCCTGGAAAGCCTTCCCTCCCCTCACTCGGCCAAGTTGTGAGCCTGAAGATGCTGCTCGGTGCTGGCGTCCGCCGGACGGGAGGCCTCCGCATGTCCTGAGCACGTCCCACGAGCAGCCACAGGCTGGGGCTGAGGCTTTGCCGCCGTGACGCCACAGCTCCCGGTCACGGCGGGTCCTTGCTGCCTCCCAGCCCTCACCGCCGTGAAGCCTGCAACAGACTGATGGGCTCGCTCTAGCTCAGGTGTAAATGACTGCCCGCCAGGCCCCAGCTGCCTTCCGTTAAAGAGAGGCCCGCTTTTCCTGGAGGCACCTGGCTGTGGAATTCCTTCCAGGGAAACGCGGCCTGCGGCCCCATCCAGCATGCTGGGGCAGGTGTCCCCAGGGTAGCTGTCCCCGCAGACAGAGGAGGCCGGCCTGGCTCCAGTCCCCAGGCCTCCCGCTTTCCCAGCACCCTCCCACAGAATCGCTCTAAGTGGCAGGTTTTTCTTCGGTGGTTCCCATGGCAGCAGCCACGGGGGCTGAGGGAGGAGACGGGGGAGGGGGGCAGGGCAGCTGTGCGCAGATGCTGTCCGCAGAAGGGGTCCGGGATGCCAGCTGCGGCTGTGGCTGCGCCGCGGGCTGTGGGCCTGGAGCTACCGGGCCAAGAAGTAACAGTGCCAGAGGTGGCAGCGGACGCCTGTCCCCCACCTGCCTCCCCCGTTAGCCCCTCTCATGCTCACGCAACTGCAGGAAGGACCCGGCTTTTCATCATCGTCCTCCCTGCTTTACAGACAGAAAACCGAGGCGCGGGGGAATTAAACAGGCCTGAGAGCTCACAGCCATCAAGGGGCAGAGCCAGTGCTTGAACTCAGCCGCGGAGCCCTGGAGTTGCGCTCCTAACCGCTGCACCACACTGCCTCGGCTGTTCTCAGGGTAGAAAAGCTGCCTGCAGCCCAACAGCACTCCTGCCTGGAGGGCTCTGTCCATGCTGCACCTCCGTCCGGAACCCCTGCCTACCTCCCACACACCCAGCTGGCCCTGGCGCTGTGTCTTAGCCCAGATATCACCTCCTCCAGGAAGCCTTCCTTGATGCCCTGTGTCCGTCCAACCCCTACCATGCATTCCCAAACACACGGGAAACAAAGACATGCCGTCTTCGCTGTTCGGTGGGACTGTCTGCCCCTGGATATTGGGAGGGCCCTGAGGGCGGAGCGTGGGTTCACGTCGTCTTTATGAGCCCAGCACTCAGCCTCGGGCTGTGAATACCGACACCAACACATATCGAGAGCTGGGGACGCGCTGGTGACAGTGGCCGCTTTGACACCGACTTCACTGGAGTTTATAGCCGGCCCGTCTGTGCGCCAGCAGCTAATGGAAATGCCGGCAACGGTCGTGCCTCGGTGCCTGTGCTTCCGAATCCCTGCAACGGCGCCACGAGGGAGGAGCGGGTGTCCCCATGTCACGCACGAGGAAATGAGACCCAGAGAGGCAGAGTCCCTTGCCAAAGGCCACACAGCCGGTGAGTGGCGGTGCTGGGAGTTGGAACCGGGTCCGTCTGGCCTCAGATGAGCTCATCTTGGGGTAAGGCCGAGGTCCGATCTGGACTAGATGTTCAGAGACGGGTCCCCTGCACCCGTGTGGTGTGCCCGCTGGTCCTGGCCCACCCTCTACCAGGAACCCCAAGGCGAGTCCCCGTCCTCCATCCTCTGGGCATCCTGCAGATCGGCGGGCGTTGTCGCCGTGTGGGAGCGCACTGCCCTGCTCCCGGCCTTCGCAGCCAGCTTGCCGGAGCTGACACAGGACGTGACACCCGGCTCATCCCCAATGTCCGGGAAGGGAGGGGCCTGCCTGTGGGAGGTGCTGCCTTGGCTGCCTCGCCCTTCCTTGTGAGGTGACCACCGTGGAGGTGGCAGGCGGCGAAAGCCCGGGACACAGGCATCATCCTAAAGCCACTCCCCGGGCCTTCCATGGCCGGCCCGCCCCATGGTCGACCAGCTGGGAAGATTCAGGTCTTTAAAAACATTTCAGAGATGCAATAAAAAATACGTGGCCCGGAAATTCACTCCCTCCAGGTGCAGGGGTCTGTGTGGTGTGGGCGCGTTCTGTGGACGGCAGACGTGACACATCGAAGGCTGTTTTATGGAGCAAGAGGTGAAGACGGCCAGGGCCGCAGACGGCAAGTTTTTAGTGTCTTTTGGGATGTTTACCGATTCAAATTCTTTTGGCGTTTTCCAAGCGGTAAACAAAGCCTCCTCTGATGGAGGAACCGCACTGAACGTCTTGCCGGGGCGCAGGAGCGGATCCGTCAGCAGGAAGAGCAGCAGCCCGTGTGGGCTGGGAGGCCCCGTCACCACCCACCAGGGAAGTCGCGTCGGAGGGGGCAGGAGGAGCGTTCCTGAGGCCAGCAGGTCAGAACGAGACATCGGCTCGGCTGGAAGACGGCCGACGGCCCCTCCGCCAACCTCGTCTGTGGGCCGGGCGCGGTGGCTCACGCCTGTCATCCCAGCACTTCGGGAGGCCGAAGGCGGACAGATCACGAGGTCAGGAGTTGGAGACCAGCCTGACCAACACGGTGAAACCCCGTCTCTACTAAAAATACAAAAATTAGCCCGGCGTGGTAGCACACCGCTGTAATTCCAGCTACTCGGGAAGCTGAGGCAGGAGAGTCGCTTGAACCTGGGAGGCGGAGGTGGCAGTGAGCCGAGATTGTTAGTGGCACTGCATGCCAGCCTGGGCGACAGAGCAAGTCTCCATCTCAAAAAAAAAAAAAAGGGGGAGTATGGTGCCCACTGGCAGGAGCAGCTCGGGTCCGAGACAACGCGGATGACCCTGGTAACCAATGTGTGAGCTCAGGAAGGCGGGGCTGTGTGAATCCACATCCTAGCTCGGCACAATTCTCTCTCTGTGATTTTGGGAAACTGAGCCTCCGTTTCCTCGTCTGTGAAATGGGGATACCCAGACCCCCTACTTCATGGTGTGACTGTGAGGGTGTGAGACAGTGTGAGGGTCTGGAGAGAGAGAGAGACAGACCCCCAGGAGTGCTGGCTCCTGTGACTAAGGCACAGAGAGAGTGCTTAATAGGTCTAGACCCAGAGAGGCAAAGTGCCTTGCCCGCGGTCACACAGCAGGATCCAGGTTGTCCGGTGCGGTGCTGGTGTGTGGGCTCTGGGCCGGGATATACCCAGTAAAGCAGAGGCTATTACTCCCAAAATGCCACCGCGCCCGGCTGAGGGCGTTCCCAGCAGTGCCAACCCCTCTGTCTCTCCTAACCCCACTGGTAACAGGCTTGTACAAGTGAGGTACGTACTTCGGCCAGTGAGACACCAGCAAAAAATGCTATGGCCACATCTGAGCAGAAGCTTAGAGACACGCCGTGTGTGGCTTCGCCACTGCCTTCTCCCTCCACTGCCAGGCCATCGTCCCGCC